CAGATTTTCTGAATATATTAAAGTATAGTATAACTCTTTAAGTTAAAAACATTAAAATGACTGGATATCCTAGTTAAAGGTACACAAAACCCCACAGTGTAATTTTCCCCCTTCGCTGTTCAAGGGTAACGCCCCTCGATTGAAAGTACACGTGCTACCCCAATACAAGGAAATGGGTTTTAGGAAGTTGCGGACAGTCATTTTATTGTCTCACGTGTGCCTTATTTCTTCTGCATTTTCACACCTTTCATAAAAACAAGACGAAGCCAAGAAAACATAGGCAACAAAAATCGCAGACATTTCTTGTAACTATTTTTTTCTGATATATGTCCTCAGGCGAGGGAAGCAGAAGCAAAAATAAACAAATGGGACTACGTCCCACTGCGGAGGTTCTGTGCTGATAGTTATTCTTCCTTATTTTATATTGTCTCCCTTTAAGCCTTGCCTGCAGGGTTTTTCTTGTGGCGTATAGTGTGGAGTCGTACACATAGGATGTGTTTTATAGAGCTGTGTGTGGGTACAGGTAGGTAGGTAGGTAGGTAGAGTATAGAATGTAGTGTATGGTGTAGAAGATTTTACGTCGCCCTTCTGGTCTAATTCATTACTGAAGAACCCCCGTTATCCCATGGGATGTGCCCGTAGCACTTACAAAGAGTCTCTGGGTTTTAGAACACAGTTGTAGCTTGTACAGCTGTGTGCACTTGTATGTGCTATTTTGGCCTAAGACTATATGAAAAAACTTTTTTGAAGTCACTTATCATATTCCATGTAATTAAAGTGATACGGCACATTCTGCCATCAAAACATTGTAGCCAAGGTACCCAAACACCTTCAATAATCAACTCTATTATATGTGGGCTTGAGACATTTTTTTAAAGCCTCACTTTGCCTTTATAAATATTTAATCAAATAATAGCCACAGAGACCTAACAGTTTTTTTCTGTGGATGGTCACACACAAAATACCCAACATTGGTGTCATTCAAGGTCCTAGCAGAAACAGGTCGCACCCTCAGAGAGGATAATGAATGAGAGCGAAGAAAGGCACTCTTTATAAAGTTGTGGTAGGATTCAACCAGCAAGGTCAGGAAAGCAGCCCCGGGAAAGGAACAGTGAGAATCTATTCCCACCTGAAGGCAGGAGGAGCCGTAGCAGCTACCAAAACCGAGGGAGAGCTGGGCCACAGAACGTGGGCTTCGTGGCGGATGGCAGCCACTGCCAAAGTGTGGCCTGGTGGGGAGGGAGTGGAGGCGACGATGCCTGGAACTCTTCTCTCATCCTTCTGCCTCTCGAAAGTGTCTCCCATCGGTCAGACCCAACCAGAAACCAAAGGGCGAGGCATCCCATTGGGTGCAGTCCATGAGAGGCCTGCCTCCTGGGCCACAGACCCCGGGGGCAGAGGCCGAGGGCAGATCTGGAGGGGCAGATCTGGAGGGACAGACGGACAGCACAGCAGGGGTGAGGATTCCCCANCGGGGGCAGAGGCCGAGGGCAGATCTGGAGGGACAGACGGACAGCACAGCAGGGGTGAGGATTCCCCAGGAGCGACCTGAGGGGCAGACAGAGGAGCAAACGTAAACACGCGCCTTGTTTCTTGACCGCGCTCCCGTTTCTGGAAGTTCGGACTTAGAGGGAAGAAGTGATGATACATCGTGGAGTTCCCTCCCCCCCGTCTGGAAAAACAAATCCAACTTCTGGCTGAAATGACCAGCTCTTCCCTTTCCTGCTTTTTATGCATAGCCTCACTGCATGCTCATGTGGTTTAGAAAATAGAACAGCAGCTTTTATGTGACATAAGAACACAACAAACACCTGGAAGTTAGAGTCTTATTTGAAAAACACCTTGAAATAATGATACATTTAATTGAATCACATCAGTGAAAATGATTTTATTAGCTAAAAGTATATTTGATTAAGCAATGTAAAATTATAAGCACAATGATCTGTCCTTAAGGAGCATTTTCTAATTATATTTGTTAGTATTTTGTTCATTTTATCTGTAAGAGTAGTGACTGCTGAAGTTTTAGGTGAAATATGTGAGAAAATTAGGAATTTGGAAAAGACTATCATCGTTTTGTTTTTCCCGCAGGACAGTATTCTGCAGAGGTTGGAGAGTTCCCAGAATAGAGGGAAAAGTTGCTTCCTGATCCAAATTCTAACGAGAGAGGCAGGACAAAACTAAGTCCCCTCCCCCCCACAAATACACGTAACTTATTTGAGCATATACAGTGAAACCTTAAGTAACTGATCCCTCAAGAAAATGTGTTCCAGCCATCAAGCCAACATGGTCAGCTTATGTTGATAACAAGGTTTCATTTTAAAAAGCACTAAGAAAGAGTCTTTATTGCAAGATTGGATATTGAGTCCAGCTTCCTAACATGTCCCCTCTCCTGCCTTGTAATCATCACTGACCTGGATAATGATCCTGAAACCCTTCTACTCCCAAATCAGCCCCGGAAACCNTTCTCCTGCCTTGTAATCATCACTGACCTTCTGGATAATGATCCTGAAACCCTTCTACTCCCAAATCAGCCCCGGAAACCATGTCAGACTGCATTGTCAACACACAGAGATAGCGCACAAAGCGCTTCATTGCCACGTGCCTGCAGTTTTAACCCCTATAAATATAGTCTGCAATCCAGAGGTCATCTGAGAGGTCCCAGGCTCAGAAACATAAATATTATGTTGGGGGGCAGTAACCAGAGGGACACGTGGAGAGGTTCTGGGTGCTAGCAGGAGGTACGAGGAGGGCATCTGGGTCTCCCACCATGCCTGCTTCTTCGTTAGTGTGAAAGTAAAATGGGCATGCTCCATTTGTGAAAATTAACAGGCTACACAGTTATGATACGTGGTTTCCTTTGCATATGTTATGCTTCAATCAAAAGTTATACAGAGTAGGACAAAAGTAGGTTTATAGTTGTTTGTATGGCAGATAATACCATAATTAATAAATAATAATACAAGAATAAACTGTGTTTCAGGTTCTCACAACTGTAAACCTCCTTTTGCCCCACCCTGTGTATCTATCTACACATGTGTGTTTGTGTGTGCACGCTAATCACTAATCCCGGTACTCGCTTATAACACAGGGTATGGCGGCCCCCTTGTCCAGATAGTTTTGGTTTCTCCCTTGGTCATAGGAGATACCAGAGTGAACAGCTCAGGAGCAAACACATAGACATTAAGAAAAGAAGATGAACATTCGTGAATATTAGGGTTTAATAATCTGGGGCATGTAGATGAATAGCTTTGAAAACAGAGATCAGTAATTGAGACTCTTACTGGTGACTCCATGTCCTCAAGAGCAATTAAATTATGTAATGTAAACTGTTGCTAAGGCTGGGGAAGTTTTAGAAACCTTTCACCAACACCAGTTAAACAATTCTCTGCCTAAAGGCAAACTTGTTGTAAAATTGTGTTACGCCAACAGTGATGAAAAACAGAGGTATAATTGTACTGCCCTTTAGGGAGGTTCTTTTGATTAGGCTGTATTTAATCAGGAATTCCATTTAAATAAGTCACTACATTTCCAAGTCTTTCCATATGAGAAAAGTTTCCCTGTTATGTGAAATCATCCATAAACTGGATTTTGACTGTAAAGAAACACTACACCTTAATGGCTGCCCAAATGCTGAAATAGTTGGTGTGATCAGAAGCAGGCAGGCTAAAATAATAGACTGTTAGAGCGGCAGAAAGCATCCCTTACCATCAGATTCAATCCTCACACTTTACCGTGCAGGACATTTAGGCTCAGAGAGGCTAAGCTGACTTCCCAAAGGTACATTCCTAACGTATGGTTGGTTTGCAACCAGAACCGAAGTATCCTCATTTGCTGATCTCTCCACCTTCACTCAGCCCAGATCTCCTGAGCAGACGTGTGGGATCAAGCTGACTTGGGTTTGAATTGGTTCACCTCTCGGCCTTGCTAGCTGGGTGTGACCCTGAGCCTCAGTGAGAGTTCTGTCCTGTGAAATAATAGTACCTGGGCTTTAATTCACAGCTGCAGACACTGAGGTGCTGCATGGCAAATATCCTGAGGAGGCAACTCCCTAAAACAGAACTGAGGCAGGTGGGTAACTGGAAGGTTCACTGACCTCTCCCCATACGAACGAGGCTGAGGAGAGGGAAGGCCGCCGTGGTGGAGACCTTCCCAGGGGTTTTGGCCTCCTCAGCGTCTGGGCCTCAGTGCTCAGTGGAATTGTGCTTTCCTTCTGCCTGTAGGCATGCCCTTCGCCCTTGGGACCTGCAGGGACGGGACTGGTATGGCATTTGGGTGTTACCTCTTCTTTAATGGCAAGTCTAAACACTCTGAGCATGGTTTGTACTCCCAAATGCATTGAGTTCTGGAGCTTTATTGGATGCTGTTTGAGCCTGCTTGTAGATACCTGCCATCTGTGGACATAGTATAGGACTCACCTGCAAAGGCTGCTACGTGAATGAAAAGAGATACTCTATAAAAGTGGGTGGTAAGAAGCTTGGCACACATTGCAGAAGTTGTGCACAGCGATTGTTATTCAGCTACAGCGCAGCAATGGACTTCACGTTGATGTTGACCGGCAGCCTTGACCATTGTTTGGGTTAGACCAGTTCTCTTTATAGAGTGTATTACCTAAAAATAATGGCTTCCTTGAAAGCATTAGGCAACAGAAAAAGAGTTGATAAAGTACGTATTAATTAGGAATTGAATCTAGTTGGGACTCTTGAGTATTGTTTTGTAAAGAGACAGATGTGTAGTTGAGTCTAATTTTTTTCCAAGCCTGGTCTTTGGATTGGAAGCTCCTGCTCCATTACTTGGTACAAAGTGTCAGTGAGCAAATTATCAGACCACTTGGAGCCTCAGGGTCCTTGTCATTAAAATGAGGTTGACAATAACACCTACTCACTGGGTGGCTATGGAGCTCAAGTGGGAGAAAGTAAGTGTACACATAGAGGCAAAAAACGCTGTCGGAGGTGAACTCTAAGAAGTGGAGATCTTAAGGAGATTGTTTCCCTCTTTTCCAGTTTTCATCTTGCTGCTACAAAAGGACACGTGGAATGCCTCAGGGTCATGGTTACTCACGGCGTGGATGTGACAGCCCAAGACACTGCCGGTATGTGGTCCTTACCTTTGAAGTCAACAGGCCAGCGCAAAAGTGGGTGTCACAGAGGGGGCTCACTGTGGAAAAGGACATGCTTTCCTCATTGGTGCCGTTACAGGCGTCTTCACCTTAGACGTGGTTAGTCAAGTAGACACTGCATGTTTCTCATGCCCCATTTAAAAAAGATTATTTTCTAAAATTATATGTAGGGACCAAGCAGTATTCCCTACTTTCTGTTTGTATGAATCATGGGATGAGGTGATAAATGGGATGAGTTGTCTGGAAGCTCATCTGTCCACTGAGATGAGCTCTGTGTTTTTGTGCATCCACACCGCTTGGGAACTTGGAAGGAAGGTAGAGAGGGTGGGAGGAGAGCAGGAAAGGAGGGAAAAGAGGGAATGAACAGTACCCCCCCCCATACCCAGCCTCTACCCTTTGAGATTCAGATGCCATTCATTGCCTGGAGGTTGCCAGCCAACTGGTGTTATTTTTAAAGCTCCCAGGTGATTCTGGTGTGCAGCCAGTGTGGACAAACGGTGAGCAAAGCCAATGGAGAGGAAAGGCAGTGGGGCCTCTCTTCTGTGAGCATTGTTCTGCTGCAAAGAGCCCCTCTGGTCTCCAGCCGGTTCGGCCCCTGCTGGCCACACCAGAGAATCCAAGCAACTGCGCACGGCTGTTTCTCTATTGAACTTGAAAATCTTTGCCTTCTAATAAGGCTTTCGTTAGTTTTTACTAGAATATGAAATCAGTCTAACTCTATAGTCATTTCATTAATCCATGATGGATCCCTTTTCCTGGCCCCCCAAAACTCTGGCCACCTCAGAATAGTTACTGGGGGGCTATCGCTCAGGTATTAACAAGAATATGTGGTTGGAAAACTTGTGTTCAGAATTGTTTTCAAAAAGTCTGTGGCACTTTTTATTTTTTTATTTAAATATTCTCAATGGTTTGGGATCTTTTTTTTCCTTTTTTGAATAAATTTGTTTTTTTAGGACAGGCCAAGAGCCACTTGAAGTCAAGTCAGGTAAATGAGGTGCCACTGGGAAAACCATTTTTGGTCAAAAACAGGGAGTGATTGAAGTAACAGAATGGTTTTCCTGAGCAGTGCCACAGAACGCTCCAAAAATATTTTGAGAATTGGCAATCTCATGGAATGAATGGTTCCTTTAAGTGACCACCTTGAGGGAAATGCTAATTCGTGTTGTACTAACCTAAGTCATCTTTAATCCCTAGCCCAGGTGTTCTGTTTTTAAAGTTCGTTGTGATCACTTTTGAAATCCTACATGTAGAGCTAGAGTACCCTGGATAGGATGTATGTCCTCTTAAGTAAACAGGGTTTCCTCCAAGAAAATCATGACCTAAAAGGATCAGCTTACAGTGAATAAATCAGAGCTGCAATACAGTTTTGTTTTGCTGCATTTGATGTTAAGAAATAGATTTTAGATAGGAGTCTGGTTATTTGCATCATAGCCAAGCATCTCCTCTTGCCTATCTTTTTATTATGGGGAAAATAAGTTTCTCTAATTTGTGCTCATATTAGAAAATTCAGGAAATACAAAAAACTATAAAGAAGATAACCAGTGCTCCTACTGCTACCTAGAAGAAATACATTTTACTGTTTCGCTATATTTCCTTCCAGATTTTTCCTGGCACACTTTTACACAGCTGAAATCACATTATGTAATAAACTACATCCTGCCCCCCTTTCAAAAATATTTTATCTGTATTATTTCCTCTATTAAAAGCTCTTAAGAAGCATAGTTTTTTGTTTGTTTGGGAGTTTTTTTTGGTGATCATATGACACCATGTGTGTAGGGTTTGTATTTACCACCAGAGCCCTAACTCAGTTATTTTATTTTATTATTATTATCATTTTAATCCTCACCAGAGGATATTTTTTCCATTGCCTTTCAGGGAGAGTAGAAGGGAGAGAGAAAGAAATATCGATGTGAGAGAGACACATTGACTGGTTGCCTCCCCATACTGCGACCAGGGTCAGGGATCGAGCCTGCAACCGAGGTACATGCCCCTGGCTGGAATCGAACCTGGGACCCTTCAGTCACGGACCAATGCTTAACCACTGAGCCAGACCAGCTAGGGCTGCCCTAACTCAGCTTTTAAGAGCCTGGGGAAGCATTGGGCAGTGATACCTGGACACCACAGCGCAGTGCACACTTCCCGCCCACCAAGGTGACACTGCCCTCCAAGAAGCAACACTGGAGGGGACATTGCAGACCCATCCTAGATGCTTCTCTGGGCCGGTCACTGGGAGCTGCAAGTTCATTTTTCCCATTCGGATTGAAATTGGTGGAATCCTTGGTACTTTGTGGCCGCAGGACATTGTCTACACGTCCTATGAGTAGAGAATGTCTCAGAGCTGCCCATCACTGCCCTCTAGCCCAGCATTTTCAGCAGCGAGGTCAGCACTTTGGTCCTTGGTTTATTGTCTTAATTCTGTCTGAACGAGGCACGGACTTGTCATGATTTCTTGAGAGCATGCAGAGAGAACACGAGAACAAAAGAAGGAAGGAGCTGTGTGCAAAGAATGTGCATGGAAACGTCTGTTGTGTTATCTAGAACGACACTGCTCAGACTTTCTGTCACAGCCAACAAGATAAACGTGATGGCTTTTACTGCCCATGCCCACGTCCTTCCTGTTGGCTCTGACTCCCACCCCCATCCCTCCCTCTCAAGACAGCATCCCAGAGTCCAGGGGAAGGGCAAGGAAATTAGTCATTGTGTCTTAAGTGGTCATCATTAAACCAAAACATTTTTTATGGCGGTTAAGATATGAATTAAGTGGCTCAGCTCTTAGAGGAGTTGTCTTTTCAGTAAACCCACCTTAAGTATTGCAGGATTGTGAGATACAGTCATCTTTCATCCCAACCCCGCTGAGAACTGCTACAAAAATCCTTTACCATAAGCCATAATGCCCTGCAGATTTCTGAAAAAGCCTACTTTTGTAGTATCTTACACTGACCCTTTTTCGTCTTTTTATTCACAAAGTCTATAGGATGGTCAGATAGGTACATTTTTCTATTTTTACCCTGTGACTGGACTTAAGTTGTAGAAGCAAAGGGTTTTTAGCATCTATTTTTTTTTTTTTTTAACAACTGTCTTTCCACATGAAATGCTTGGAAGTGTGAGAGGAGAATTTTTATGGATGTTTTACAAACAATCTTTAGGCCGTGGGTATAGTTGCACTGTACTGTCAGCAATCAGATCATTTCCGATGGCCTTTGAGGCTTAGGAGAGGTGACACGTGTGGGCTGCTGAGCGGTGCCCGGCACACAGGGAGTGCCCACTGCTTTCTGCTCCTGTATTACCATGATTATTGCTGCTCCACCCAGCTCCCCTTCATTCTCTTTTACACATGCGGCTTTTAAAAAGGTTTCACATCTTCACAAAAAAGTGTTTGACAATCACCGAGCCAACAGCTCTCATTGTACAAATCAGAAAAACAAAACCCAAAGGCCTGCAGAAGCTCATGACGTATGTTTTTGGTTTAGGGAGTTTTCCCCCGTTTCTTAACGGCCTGTTCTTCACATAGCATCACAGGCCTATAGTGTCAGCTGGGAAAGTCAGCTCCAGGCTCCTACCCTCTCTGAACTGGACCTGCGTTATTGTTCAGCATCTTTCATTGCTCTGATTGCTCCTGTCTCCACAGATGTCTGTTTCTGTACAAAACACTTCTCCCAGACAAATAGTGGGCTTTTTTGGGGGAAGGAGAGTGGGCAATGCCTTTATTTAGCACCCCAGCGTGTGAGATAGGATTAAAGAGAAGTATTAGCAGAAGATTAAAGACCAAAGCATCTTCTGTTTGTTACCAACGCTTCCTGAAGCATTAGCTTTCAGACTCCCTGTCTTAGTGACAGCATATACATTTGATGCAATGCGACAGGGTGGCACAAACAAGATAGAATTTTCTCTCATTTGAAAGTCCCTAACTGGTAGGGCAGCTCTGCTCCACACTCCTGTTGCTCCACCATCTAGGTGGTTACCGTGGTCCCGGTGGCTCCCCCTGAGTCTGCAGCCCAGCAGTGAGGAGAAAGGCAAACACAGCCCCCAGGCAGCTACACAGATCCCACTGGACAGAAGCCTGATCTGTGACCACACCCAGCTTTATGGGCAGCTGGCAATTCTGGGTGGCATTTGGTCTAGTTAAAATATAGAAGGTTGCCCTGGCCGGGTAGCTCAGTTCACTCGGGCCTCGTCCAGATACACCAAGGTTGCAGGTTCGATCCCCAGTCAGGGCACATACAAGAGTCAACCAGTGAATGCATAAATAAATGGAACAGCAAATCTCTCTCTCTCTAAAAATCAATAAATTTAAAAAAATGAAGATTTTGCTATAAAAGGTGGTAGAAACAGGTTGAAGGATGACATGTAGTTTCTGTCACACTCCTGTATCTTAAATTTTCTCTGATCCCTTTGCACGCTTGACATTCACGGTAAAACATATTTTCTCATAAAAGTGGAGAGACTTAGGCAAGTGAGAGGTGAGACGTGGAAATACCACACTGCAGAGGGTCCTCATAAGGGGGAAGCTTGAGAGCCCTCACTTGCCCCTAGGGTCTCCAGGCACTGGTTTCACTTTTGTTTTGATTTCTGGGTGGTCTTTCCTTTAATTAGACCCCTAATCCTGCTCAAATTTGATACCATGTGAAGATATGAAAGGTACTATTTATCTTGAAACTCAGGCACTTTGGAGGATGGGTCATTTAAAATGTAACTGCAAGTTATAGCCGAAAGTGTATTTTATATTTTAATTTGGAATAAAGGAAAACCAAAAATGATTGTATGATTTATGATGCTTTAATTGCTATTAACTCATGTATAGGAGGTCAGAAGGGCCAAACACATATAGTGATCAGCATAGCCTGGCCATGAAAATATTTCATATGATACACACACACGCAAAGAAATTTTTTGATTCTACATAAAACACTATGCAAATCTGCTCTGGGGAGACTCGGATAATTTCATAACTCATTTAATAAGAAGAATAGTTATTATAAACCAATTTTTAATACTCTGATCTCTCTCCTGGGAATGTAACAAGGTGGATGGACTCGTGGTTCAGTCATAAAAATTTGAAGTACAGATGAGGATTTCTAACAGTAATGTTGTCTAAATATATTTAAAGTTGTAAATAAGTGCCAAATAAATTTGTACTTTTGTTTAAATATGTTCATTTTGAAGCTCCTGGTTTTTAGGAAGATATTTCAAACCTTCTTATCTAGCTGAGTGTTATTTAATTCTTTTATTTTTCTAAATGTTTGCCTATTATGATCTGAAACCAACATTTCTCAAACTTTGGCGTTTTGCTCTGTGTCAGCCATATCCTTGTATGCTGTGACCTCATTGGTTTTCAATTTTTCACATGCACTTCCAGAGGATGTTCTCGGTCCCTTCAATAAGTCCTCTATCACATTAGTGAATTCTTCTCTTTCCTCCAGTGCTCTTAAAGAATTGAAGAAATGGCTGTTGTCTGAGGTCGTTGGGGGGAAGGTGTCCCCTGGCTAGAGTGGCCGAGCCATTCTTCTGAGACTCCTTTCAATCGTAAGGTTCTTAAACCACCTGCAACAGCCACAACTCTTTCCTTAGAAATTACACTGGTCTTTTTACCTCCTGGCCAAGTTCTGCTGTAATGCACTTGAGTTGGGTTGCCCTGCTGTTTGCCTCTGGGGAAATTGCTTCCTGATATTCCAGACAGATCACAGCCGAATGGGGCCAGACGTATGCACTGTCTCGTTACGGTGAGACGCTGTCACTAGCATAATATATTCTCTCCAGAAAATTTTTTGCATTCGGAAAGGGAATTTTTTTTAACATTAACAGGGAGAGGCATCTCACTTCGGATATCGTCCAGGGAACGATGCATCATTCGAATTTTGAGACCATTTCAAGTGAAAAATACTTCAGTGCTCCAGGTTGGGAAAATATATCACAGGGCCAAGGAATGAAAGAGTCTGTTTTCTCTGGAAGCCCAGCACATACATCCAGGTGTCATGACTAGAACGCTTGGAGTTCAGTGAAAGCCTGTTGTTTGTTTTATGCTGGGTTGTTTAAATCTCCCTACCTTCCTGTCTTTGGGGAGCTGTGCCCCTTTGCAGTGGGTGCTGTTTATGTAGAATAGCTTTTGTCCACGACACAGACGAAAGTCAACACATGCATACTTGACAAACAGCCTGCTGCTTACAATCAGGATGGGTTCCAGAAGTTCATCTGTAAAGCATTTGTTTAAAATGCAGAATGTGCTTGTCCTTAGAGACACTGGTATAAGTGATGGTTGGGAGCCAGGCTAGCCCACCAAAGCCTATTTAACGCATAATGTAGCTAAACTCACAACAAAATGCCCCATACAGCCTGGGGGGGGGGGGCTCATGCAGTGAGAGGAAGAAGGGGAAGGGAAGACCTTTGCCTTTCTACTTCCAAGGGTCTCACTACCCTCATGTCCTAGTCTCCCTCATCCTCATTTGTGTGGGAGGGGATGGAGGGGTTCCTGCCTCTCCATGTCCCACCCCCAGAGGACAACCCCCCCTCCACATACCCTTAAAAATCTCAGTCCAGCTCAGATCACAAATAAAGGAATCTGACCTTTGGACTTTACACATGCTTTTTTTGTGCAGTTCACTGTGATCCTAAAACCTCTGATTTTTAAATATGGTATTTTCTAGACATAACGATTCTCTAATAATTAGTGGGTTCCCAGTCAGTGTTACAGAGTGAAGACTAACTCAGAAGGAACAAATGGTATTTGGAGACCGGACTTATCATATAAAAGAAATTGTTCCTCTAAGCCAGTGATTCTCAACCAGGGGTGATTCTGCCTCCCTCCCGCCCCCAGAGATATTTAGCAATGTCTGTAGACATTTCTGATTGTCCCAACTGGACATCCAGTGGGCAGAGGCAGAGATGTTGCTTAACATCCTATAGTGCACGGGACAACCCTTATAGCCTAAAGTGTCAGTAGTGCTGAGGCTGAGGTGGTCCATCGGGGGAGTCTTGGTCAAGTAGTTTGGGAAATGCAGGACTGAAGAGTTTCCTAGCGTATTGGGTTGACTGGCAGTGGCAACTCTGGGCCCCCCAGCCATCTGTGATGGACATACCCAGTAATTCAAGTGTGTATGGAGCGCCTGCTATGTGCCAGCAGAGTCATAGGCACTAGGGATACTCTGGGAATAAGGCACCACTGAGTTTATATTCTAGTGGGGAAAGGAGCAGTTAACTGCGTAACTGTGGATGTCCGTGTAGAGAGAAGGGGGCAGTGGAAGGGAAGACTGGGAAGCGTTCAGTGCCATTCAGAACAAAGACATAAAGCAGGGAGCAGGGGATAAAGGCGCTGGGGAGGCGTTGGAGTGTTAAGCGGGGACATCAGGAAGGTTCTCATTCGGAAGGCAGTGGTTCAGTGACATCGTAGGGAGGTGAGAGAGCAGGCTGGGTGGCTGTCCTAAAGGCAGAGAACCCAGGCAAGCCGGGAGCTGTCTCTAGACGCCCTAGGGTGGGGCTGCCCGAGCCCTCTTCCGTAGAAATCCCATAGGCCCTCGGGCCGTGGGGGCAGTTGGGGGTAGTGGCAGGATTTCCTAGTGATCTGTCCACAGCCATCGGAGAGCCTCACTGGGGCTGTGCTCTTGAAGGAAATGTAAAGCCGTGCTACCTTAATGGTGTGCGGTGTTTTATAACTCTTTCCCTTCTGCGTGAGAACTTGGACTACCTGAGAACTGGGGGTAATTTCCATTCAGGGGCTGGAGGACACTTGGAGAGAGATGAGAGGAGGTCAGAGTAGGGCTGAAAGTGTGGAGGTGATGGGGATGCTCTCTGCTGGCTTGCAGGCCGCCTTTATTGGGTCCCCACGCCTGTGGCACCCACAGCCTGGTGTGACTGGACACGGGGCCTTTGGCGTGTGCACTGATACATTGACAGCTGGAAGCGGAGCTTCTGAGCGGCCTGTAGTGAGTCCACCGCCAGCTCCAGCCCTGAGCTTAACTGCACCCAAGAGAACAGCCGTCGGAGCCTGAATATTACCCAGTGGGCAGGATGCTCTGTGCTCTCCCCACTTGTGTCACACTGAACTTTAGAGATAAGAAATTGAGGCCTGACTCTTAACAACAATCCCGTCTTTGTTGGAGAGCAATTTATTTCCTCATAGTTGTCTTCATTACAGAGATAAGAGATTTTAAATGAGGTTTCCCCCCTCATTTTTTTTTCTTTTTTCTTAAATCTCTTTAGGACACAGTGCTTTGCACCTCGCAGCCAAGAACAGCCACCATGAGTACATCAAGAAGCTCCTTCAGGTAAAAACTGGCAACAGCTTAAAATGATAATCATGTTGCTTTCAAAATTTCTAAGTAACCTTATCTGTGAAAGAACAAATTCTCTCTCTCTCTCTCCCTCTCCCTCTCCACCCCCCTCCTGCTCACTCTCTGTCTCCTTTAAACTCTATCCCAGAACCTGGGTTCCCTCAGAAGCTTACTATTGAAATGACAGCTGAGAGAAGATTATTTCCATAGCAATTGCACTGCTAGGGAATCTGGAGTGTCTTCCTGGAATCCAGTCTTTTTCTTTCCTTTCTTCAGCTCCTCTTATTCTTTTCTGAAGGACTGTGCCCTTTAAATAGTCAGTTAAAAACACTTTCCTCCACACGGTTGGAGATCCTCACAGTACAGGCTCTCCACTGTCCTAGTCCCCTCTCTTCCGATCATTAGTAGAATACAGTTATTGCAAAGCAAAATTCCAACCATGATTTCCTTGTATGTAACTTGACGAGCTTTTAGTTCTTAGGTTTTAACTTCTTGGTTTTACCCTTCTTTATAATTTTAAACTAACACCCTGGTTCGACAACTTCTCCAGGAAGCTTGTCATGATCACTTAGGGTGACAACTTCTGTAGATCTTTAAAGGTGAATATTGAATGAAATCCCAATAGCGGTCCTTCCCGAAACATCCAGCTGTTGCCAGGCACAGTGCAAGCTGGCTGTTTTCAGGAACAGTGTAGAGCAGTCGGCGCCACGTTTGGGGTGCTGTCGGTTCTCCGGAGCTGCCGTCTCAGCCTTGAGAGCGCTGCCTGGGACCCCGCGTTGTGCTGTTTCTTGGCTCTGCTGTTCGCATGCAGAAACGTGTCTTGCATTACGCGATGCCAGCTGCCACCAGGGCCCGGAATGCCTAACCTTCACAGGACCGACGCAAAAGTCAAGGAAAACAGATCAACATCTGGGGTGCTTATTATTGTCAGGATGAGGCTTCTCCCTGAAAACAGTGAAAGCAGAACCTTTCCTGTCTGCCTTCTCTGGGAAGGGCTCTTTGGATAAATGAAAATCATTGACTGGCCCAAGTAAATGCCCTGCCTCCACGCGCTTGGGGCTTATCTCAGTTTCTAAAACTTACGTGTTTCGCATCGCCACTCCCATCCTGGCCTGGCTATCCAGACTTCGCATCTGGCTCTGGTTTTAAGGAAGAATGAACTTGACAAGCCGGGAATCCTCATGGGCAAGGACCAGATATTCTAGCCTCTAATGTAATCTTATATATGGTTATGCAAAGGGCTTGGTTTTTCTCTGGAATCTTTGAAGCCTTTAAACAGTTCCTTGTGCTGTTCTAAAATTAGGCCACAGCATGCTAAGTTGTAACCTGATCTTCATTCTTCTCACCATAGAAGGGCAGACAGATATTTTGCTCTAATGTTGCCTGTTCTTGCCTCCCCGAACTTACAAATTGTCTGGAAGCTGTTTCTGGATAGCAGTGAAAACCTGAGGCTTTGATCTCCGCCTAATGGGTTGCCTCCCTTGGGTCCTACACCTCTCTCGTCAGTTCTTCACCTCCCGTCTTGGCAACCCATGCCCTTTGTGATGTGACCCTTGTTATCCCCTGCTAACCCTCATCCCTACACCCTCTGTATTTACTACTCTCTCTGGGCATTTAGACCTTGGCTCTTACCATCTGTCTGCTGGAGCTACTTGCCCTCTCCAGTGGCTACTTCCCCAAGGCAGCGAAGTATAAGTAGAGCCTTGTGAAAGCCTTCAAATTCAAATTAACTCTCTCCCTCCCCCAATAGCCCCCTATTCCCTCCGCTCTTTCTTCTAACAGGTGTTCCCGGGCACCGTGCCCTGTATTAAGCATTGAGTATATTAATACTTATGAACATCCCCTATCCTGATGGAGCTTACAGTCTGGTAAACAAGTACACAAATACATGTTACAAATTGCAAAGTACTAAAAAGAAACTAACAGGGTACTTGAGAGAGGAGTGAGGGGTGGTGTTCAGGGAAAGCCTCCTGGAGGAGGTGATAATTAAGCTGAGAATTGAACAATCAAAGTGCCAAGGGTAAGGCATTCCAAGCAGATATAACAGCAAGTACATGAAAGGCGTAAGGAAGGAAAGGCACTTGTCCAAGAGGAAAGAAAGCCCTTGAGTGGGCGTGGGGCAAAGCATGTGAGGAGAAATAAAGGTACAGGGAATGGGCCTTGTATGTCATGATGTGCAGACTGTATAACTGAAGAGCTTTTAAGTAAAGAGTGACACTCACAGTTTTAAAAGGTCACTCTAATTGTACAGAGAGTAGAACAAAGCGGGGAAAACTCAGAATTGTTGAGACCTGCCAGGAGGGAGGCTATTTCATCTGCCCAGATGAGCAGGTTAACTCTCGGTCATCATGGAGAAACACAAGACAGCAGAACTGGGGTATGTTTTGGGAGCAGAATTGACAGGACGTCGTGGAAGGAGGAGGAGAAGCTGGAGATGACTCAGTGGTTTCTGGCTCATTGACTAGATTCATGTGACACTGTTGACAGATGAGAAGTGTTGGCGGATCAGGCTGGGGAGAGGAGGAAGGAACCAGAAGATGTGGCTGTGCCAGGCTCGAGGTGCCTGTGAGACATCAGGACAGAAATGGGAACTAGGCAGTGGGCTTTCAAGCCTGACGCTCAGAGATGACCTCTCTGTGGACACAGGACCCAGCACAGCCTGTCTAGGTTCAAATCCTGGCTCTGCTGCTTACTGTGACCCGAACAAATTATTAACATTTTTGTACCTCAGTTTCCTCGTCTGAAAATGGGACTAAATGATAGCGCCCAACGAGGGTTGTTAGAAGCCTGAAAACAATTCTTTGAACAGTGCCTGGCACATAACAGCCAGTACACAATATTGCTGTTGTTGTTGTTCAGATATGCATTTGGGAGTGATTAGATTTTGGATGCAGATGAGGTTACCGAGGGAGAATGCTGAGAGAGAGCACTGGAGAACCCAAGGTTTTGTGTCGGGCTGAAGGAGGCGTAGCCAGAGTTGCGGGAGGAAAACCAGGATTGGACGGGCCGGGCCGGGCAGGGCTCTCAGAGCCCGAGATGTGCTGGAGAAGAGGGAGGGGAGTGCAGGCGAGAGTTTGGTCAGAGCAGGACAGAAATGTTCATTGTCATGGGAAACTCCAGGAACCGTTGGTGACTTTGACTAGGACATTTCTGTCGAGTCTTGAGGGAAAACAGCTGGCTGCGGGTTCAGGAATGAATGGCAGGTGAGGCATCATGGACTATGTGTGGGCAAGTCTAAGAAAAAGCAGGTTCTGTAAAAGGGGACAGAAAATTAGGGCAGGAAATGAGTGTGTGTAGGGGGACAGGGGATGGTAATATCAAGATGAGAAATTTGAGAGCGTGTTGGTTAGCTGGTGGGGATGATCCGGTAGGAATACGGTGTTGAGGTAGGAGACGGGAGGGGATGGCTGAAGCAGCAACAGGGTGACATTTTGCCTGTCCTGTGTCATGATTACTTGGAGATGAGTCTCCCTCCCCATAAGAAATTATAGGTTCCTGGAGCATGACAGTGGGGCTCACTCATGTTTATATTCTTTCCAGTAACTTTGTAGGAAAAGGATGAGCTGAGTAGAACTAAACTTTATTATATGCATTTGTTTATTTTTGTCTTCTAGTCTAAATGCCCAGCCGAAAGTATTGACAGCTCCGGGAAAACAGCGTTACATTATGCAGGTAACTTCCGTTCTCTTGTTTGTCTTCTGCCATAACACACACTAACTCTTCATTTTCCTGATTCAGGCCATTAAATTTACCATTTTATATCACTCCTGTTGCTGTTTTCTCTCTTCATTCCTAGACATTCCCGCTTTTTTCAGTTTGCAAAGCATGTAGAGTTACCAAGGAATAAATCTAGAATTCATCCATTGCCTGCCAAATAACAAGTAAAAATTGTCTTGGTTATATTTTAATTAATTTAAGGTTCTTGTTTAAACTAAGAGGTATTCATAAGCATTTGTAGACTTCAAGTAACGTGTGATACAGATTTTTTTGTTTTGGTGCTCGTTAAGAACATCAAGCGATTTATCAACATTTTGTTTTACAATCTATCACACACCCTATCACACTGAACTCTGGGATGCGTGGATTTACAAGTATCTTTTAGGGCTAGTTGCTGAAAAGCTAAATCCAGTGTTTGCCTCCATGCAACTGGCAGTCCCTGGCTTTAGGGCTGGTGACCCTGAAATGAAACCGTAATTGACAACACCTCGTACTTGACCTTCCTGGGGCCATTTCTCTTCCATGCAGCCAGAGTGAATGGGCGAAAACTGGGTAGAACCCCAGCTTCTTCCTAGGGGTGTGTGGTGCCCAGGGGGTGAGAGTGGCTTTGTGATCGGCTGTGGTGTTTGTGTTTTCCTTTCCCCAGCGGCACAAGGCTGCCTTCCAGCGGTGCAGGTTCTTTGCGAGCATAAGAGCCCCGTGAACCTCAAGGATTTGGTGAGTACCATGGTGGAGGTGGGTGCTGCCTTCTGGAGCACTGTGGGCTACTTTTGAGGGCCACTGAGGCTTTAGAGAACTAAGGATTTGGCAAATTCTATGGCTTTTCAACCTAACTTCTCATCTGTAAAATGGATGTAAGTATTATCCCTATTGGTCCCTGAATCATAAATAAAACATTTTTAAAAATTGATTTGAGAGAGAGAGGAAGGGAGAGGGAGAGAGAAACATCAGTTGGCCGCCTCCCGCATGCACCTGGCCAGATCCAGCCCGCAGCCTGGGTACGTGCCCTGACCGGGAGTAGGACCCGTGACCTTTGGTGCTCAGGATGACGCTCCAGCGAACTGAGCCACACCAGCCAGGGCTAAATAAAACATTTTGCTGCATAACCTTCCCATGTAAGTATATTTGTATCTAGGGCTATATATGTGATCTACCATCAACTTAAATATTAGTAAGACACAGTTTCTTGATATTTAAAAGTAAATAAGTCTAAGTAGAAGTTTTAGCCTTTTCTTTTGGCACCCCGTGTATCACCTGGGGTGCCGCTGGCTAGGGTTTCCCAGCTGTGGAGACCACTTCCAGCCTATTTTAACCTCTCTGAGCTATTTGGAGAATAAATTCACATGCCTGTTGCTCCTGCTTACGGGGTTCAGTTTCCTACAGTTGCGTGGGAATTGATATGCACACTTACATCTCATGGAGATACTGTGGAGTGAGCATATGGAATCTGTAAATAACTTCACGCTGCCTGAATTTCGGTATTCTATAAGCAGAAAGTATTATAACTTCTTAGAGATCATTTTTTAGAGATGTGTCTGAAATTCTACTTTAAAAGGAAACTTGATCCTTAAGCAGCAATTGTACTATAACAAATCCCTGTGTTAAAATACTCGACGATATTGACCTTATCTTTTCCTTTGCCTGTTTGAATACTTCCACCTTTAACACTGCTGTCGACCCCATTTGCCGGGTGTGTTCGAGGAGAGGGCAGAACAGAAGCTCCTATTTTTTACAGTTTGAGTCATTTGAATCGGGCCCCCTTCACCCTAGGATTATGGAGCTAGTTACCTGTACGTTCTTCTAGTATTTTTTCATTTGTTTTACATCGTCCTGATTAAAATCTTAATGTATATGTATGAGTTGGGGATCTAATTTTCTTTTTTCCCCCAAGGAATTGCCGGTTGCCATATTGTAGCTTATTAAAAAGATCATTCCCTCCATCCGTCTCCTTATCATGTGTCAGTAATGGGCAAACTCTTCATTTATATTGTTTTGATACCTAGTACGATCATGGAAGAGTGTGCCTTCCAAGAGGACAGTCGAGGCACGGTGGGCCTCGTGCAGTTCACTCGAAGAGACTGCTCAGAGGACTGTGGGACCCCTGCTGCCTTGTGAAGCAGCCCCTCCTTTCTCCGGAGCCATCTCAGTAAACCTGGAACCTGTCCGTGCCCGGGGCCTTTACATACTTTGCGTTCCACTCTCTCCTGTCGTCACTGGACCGAGCGATGGCCCGGGGAACGGGCGACTCGAGAGGCTGAGGCACCTGAGGAAAAGCCAGCAGAGGAATTCCATAAGAAGGAATTAAGATGCCAAGATGTGTTAAGACGTAATGGCAGCCCCATTGGAGCACAGGCTATTACCCGGCTCCAATAGAAGAGCCACAGGACCAGTCAGGAGTAATGGAGAAAGAACAAGGACCTTTGCAATTCCCGCGTTGGTATCGGCATTAAAAATCTTAATCCGAATTTGTCTCCTAGGATGGGAACATTCCGCTGCTGCTTGCGGTGCAGAATGGCCACGGCGAGGTCTGTCGCTTTCTTCTGGATCATGGAGCGGATGTAAATTCCAGGGACAGAAATGGAAGGTACCGCGGAACGAGACACCGTGTGATTTCAGGGACACCCGCATTTTGAGAGTCTTTCGGAACATCATAGCTGCATTTGAGATCATTTGTTAGGAAGTGGTTTTAACTTTACTTTTAATTTCCTGCCTTTTTTAATAATCAAGAATCTGTTTCGACTTTAAAAAATGTTTTTCCTCAGATCTCTGGGAACATCATTGAGTCTGTGCTAGGAGATTATGAAATACTAAAGTGAATAGGCCATTTCTTATGACTTTTCAGGCAAAATTAAATAAAAGTAAACATACTGGTTTCTTTTTAGAAAATAATCCTAGCAATGTATAGGTAATTGGAAATGCTTGAGGGGGGAAAAAAACAACAAGATTTGTGCCAGTCACATTAAATTCCATCATATTTAGATTAGAAGATTGTATCTATGTTATTAGACCTAATGTGGCTTCATGTGTTGAATTAATCTGAGGTTTTCAAAAAAAACACCTACCTAATTTCATCTTGATAGCATTCCACTTTGAATTCCCTAGAAGACGGAGTGTAGCACAGTTTTAACAGCACTTAACCTCCCTTTCCCTGTTGGTAAGGCAAGTGAAATGGTTCCCCAGGAATAAGTTCTGATTAGCACTAATTTATGTCTTCTTTTTCCTTTAGAACTGCGCTGATGGTGGCTTGTGAGGTCGGCAGCTCTAACGTCGTGGAAGCCTTAATTAAAAAGGGCGCAGACCTAACCCTTGTAGATTCCCTTGGACACAATGCCTTGCATTATTCCAAACTCTCAGAAAATGCAGGAATTCAAAGCCTTCTGTTATCAAAAATCTCTCAGGATGCTGGTATGTGAAAGGAGATAGCCAGTGTTGTTTTAAGTTTATCCAGTCCATTTTCCCCAAAGGATAAGGGAATTTGTGCAATATGATATACTTTATTATTCTTTTCAACATATTCTTGAAGAAAAATGAAGTGTTAAGTATTGTGTATATTGTGTGCGCACCCCCCCCTCCCAAAGTGGATATGAGTTATTATGGTTCTTTATGGTTCTTTTCTCTTTTTTCCCACTTTCCTCTGTAGATTTAAAGACACCAACAAAACCAAAGCAGGTATTTATCTTTGGGGGGAGGGGATTTTTTTTTTCATCTTTGCTTGTGAGAATTTGAAAAATGTTCTGATTAGGCCACTCTGTGGGCCTAGAAAAGTCATAAAGACTATGTTGGAAATACTTAAGGAGTGAAATATCTTTAGAATAAATGATTCATCATTATAAGGTGGTAAATATTTCCTAAATGGTTTACCCTATTTCCAAAGCTTGTAACTTTAAACCTGCTACTTATATATTTTTCTTTTTCTGGAATGTACTAATAAATCCTATTGTTGTGAAAATGTTTGATGCAGTTTAAACTGAGAATGAATAACAATTATTTTAAATACTTGCAACATCACATGGATTATAGATCTACATCCATGGCAATGTTAGATATTTAATACAGATAAGAGATTTAGCTTTTCCTTTTAATTGGGGCTATTTAAAAATGTCATTAGTATTACACAGAAATTGAGAAATTTGCCGTTTTTTTTGTTGTTTTTTTTTTTAAAAACACAGTCACTGTTGCTTACTTTATTATTAAGGAGATGTATCTTTGGCTGTTTATTTATACACCAGAGTTTTTGAAAAAATTATAAATACAAAACTCAGTACTGAATGTATTATATACTAACTGTGTTACATATTTATCAATAACCTTTAGAGATGAGGTTCTCCCTTTCCCCTATATTTACATTCTTTAGGGAACAGAATGGAAATAATGCAGAGTGGGGAAAATACCACTGTGTTGATTAAGATGAAAGCCAGACTGTGAACAGATTCTGGGTTCTAAATTGTGGCAGACAGCTCCTCACCCTCCTTTCCCAGTTTTCCACACCAACTTAATCTGATATTGTCTTGTGTTTTTTATTTTCTTGCTATTAAGCCCTGGGCTGCTGGGAGAAAACTTTGAGCATGCACATCACTTATTTTTATGTTGGTAGCAGATTCCAGATCTTGATAGAGTAAGAGATGCATGAACTGTGGGAGTTTTTCTCCTTGTTTGATGAAGCTATTTGCTCAGACTTTACTAACCTGACTAACCCTCCTCCGTTCTTTGGACTGTGACAACTTTCAGCATGATCAAGTGTCTAAAATAAGCTCAGAAAGAAGTGGAACTCCAAAAAAACGCAAAGCTCCACCACCTCCTATCAGTCCTGCCCAGGTAAAAACAAAGCAAACCCACCGTGAACGCACCACAGCAAAGTCATCAGTTTGTCATTTGTGTGTAGGCCAAAAAGAAATGTTTTAGAATTGAGCCTTGAATGCACGTTTGAAGTTTTTTTTACAAATTGTAGTATGAAGGATTTTGATGATTGGAATGGAAATAAGGTTGCTTCTTATTTATTTCAAAATGGAATAATTGAACTGTATCTTTTTTTTAAGCCTTGAGGAAATTTCTCAAAATCTTTATGGCAGAGACTTTTTTCTTAAGTTAACAAACTTAGTTCCTTTGGACCCTCATAAATATATATATATATTTAATATGTTTTTATTGATTTCAGAGAGAGGAAGGGAGAGGGAGAGAGGGATGGAAACATCAATGATGAGAGAGTCACTGATCAGCTGCCTCCTGCACGCCCCCGACTGGGGATTGAGCCTGCAACCCGGGCATGTGCCTGATCAGGAATCGAACCGTGACCTTCTGGTTCATGGGTTGACGCTCAACCACTGAGCCATGCCGGCCAGGCTGGACACTCATATTAATAGCTCTTGTAAAAGGCAGGCAGGAGAATGGGTAGCTTGTGAGGCAGTTAGTACAAAATGAATTTTAGTTGGTTCCTTAAAACACTGTTAAAATATATTTGTCTTTCTAATTACCTTTAAGGTCGACTTATAAGCAGCTTTCATTCCAGGTTATAGTGACTACTGCACAGAGGAGGAAGCACAGATATCTGTGAAATGGCCATAAAAACAGGCTTTGGTTTGTTATGAAAAGAATCATAGGCCATAAAAAGAATAATCCATATTCAAAGAGTCGAGAGGAATATACCATCTGATAAGTAATTTTAACTATGTTAGCATATTCATGAAAAATATTCTCAACCTGTGATAGAAGTTTTATAGATTTTTAAAATTGATTCTAGTAAATATAGGAGTAAAGTTCCTTAGTTATATTCTGCAAACTTTCAGAAAGTATTCGAGGTATCTGAATTACATTGGAAATATGTTACCCCCACGATAACTGAAGCCAAGGGCCATCGCTGTTAGATTTGTTTGCGTTGGTTCAGTTCTTTGGCACTGGAGGAGAAAAGACTTCGAGGACTCACTCTTCATCAGTGGTTTTCATTTTCCCTTTTTAGCTGAGTGATGTGTCTTCCCCAAGATCAATAACTTCGACACCCATTTCGGGAAAGGAATCAGCATTTTTTGCTGAACCACCCTTCAAGGTAATTCCTTTCTGTGTTCAATTTTGCTGTTGAATCGTACGATACGTAATAGACTTGGTTTAAGTTATACAACACTGAGCAAAACAATATACTTCTCATTGACTGGTTTCCAAACTTGTCATCAGGAAGCACCCTTGATGATTTTCCTGGCATGGGCCCCATACAAAAAGAATAGGATGAATAAGTTACATTCATTAGCTAATAATTAATTTCTTCATTTAATAAAATGGAACAAAGATGAAACTTACCTGATAACCAGTCTTCTTACTAAATTGAGTTGATATAATGCCAATCAAATGAAAAGTTTTGTTGTTCTCTGATGAGAGAAGTAATTGTATATTTTTAATTAAACTTTTTCCTGACTATGACAATATGTATTTTTATTTTAGAAAATTTAAAAAATCCACTAGGTTTTATTTCACCTGGTTCTGCAGATTTGTGGCTGGATAGTATTTTAAGGAATGGGGGGATAGTTCAATTTAATTTCTGCTTACCTAATAATCACTAAGAAATTGTACTTGGGAAGAAAGTAAAGTTTATTATTGTTAAAATGAAATTTCAGTGGTATAATTGTATTTTTATGTCCCTCATCTAAGAGTTACTAAAGATAAATTTTCTTTTAACTTGGATGCACATTGATCTGAAGAAGGTTTATCAGCCTGTCATTTCCCTCACTGAACTAGATTTTACTAATAAACTCTTCAGCTGAGTACCTATACAAGGCAAGGCGAGGAAGTTACACTCCTACAGCTAGTACTCTCTTATCTTCTGATGTGCTTGTGGCTCCAAGAAGGCAATGCGTTTCAAAGAATAATAAACAGCACAAATTGTTATTTTCAGAAATAGTGTATAAAGACCTTTGAAAAAGATAAAAAGTGACACCAGTTAAATGGCTAAAGTTTTTAAAGATACTAAAAATACCAATTGTTGGTGACGATGAGGCAGAATTAGAATTCGAATACTCTTGGTGGAAATGTCAAAGGGTACAACTACTTTGGAAAACTGTTTGAGACAGTTATTTTAACAATTCAACTTAGGATCTAGCCACCCATGGGTCGATGTTTCCCGAAGAGAAATCAAAATATGTCTCAAAAAAATCTTATACACAGATGTTTATAGCGGCTTTATTTAAATATCCCCAAACTGGAAACAGTCCAAATGTCCTTCAAGAAGTGAATGGATAAAGGCAGTGAGATGTATCCGTATGATGGGATATTACTCAGCCATAACAAAGAATGTAGTGCTGGCCAAACAGCATTATAGGTGAGTCTGAAAGTCATCACGCTGAATGAGAGAGGCCAGACAGGAAGAAATTCATACCCTGTGACATGCCATTTATAGGAAATCTAGAAAAATGCAAAAAGAGTAGTGGCTGCCTGGGAATGGGATGGGCAGGGGCTGGCTGTGATGGGGCATGAGGAAGCTTTTAGATGTAATGGAAATATTCTTTATCTTGATTATAGTAGTGGTTCCATGGGTGTCTATCTGTCAGAACTCCTTAAATTATAAACTTGAAGTGGATGCACTGTATTGTACGTTAATATAGTTGAAAAATAAAAATAAGCATGTATTTTTTAAAGTGAAAAGACAACATTCTGTAACGATAAGAACTTGCCAAAATAAGCCACTTCATTTATAGCGTTTTGGCCTTTATAAAAGTTCCTTTGCTCAGAAATTCTCTTCTCGTGGCTGTGGCTCATCTAGATGAAACGTGGTCATTTCTGGCCAGCCACTGGACTTTGTTTCAAAATGACACTAAAACAAAACCTGCTACTTACATATTTATCTGACTTTCAAGTTATATGTTACTCTGACTTTGAAGGGAGAAGAATTTTTGCAGTATATTAACATATTCAGGGACAAAGGTTTAAAGAAAATCTTGAGGTGATTGTCAATCCAAGACCAATTAATTGTCAATCCAAAACATTTTATTTCCTTATAAAATTACCTTTATCTTCTCTGACAGGTCTTTACTATCATTTCTCTTAGAAGTATTAATAATAATATATTAATAGCAGTTAATTTATAAAGTGGTAAGGCTAAAATGTACTTCTCATGTATTTCTTATATTTTAATCAGTATATCACCTTGATAGGTAAAAATTCTATTTGACTTCATTATGAAAGTAGTATTGCCGTCTCAAGTTTTAGGATCTTAACGTTATTATCATCTTAAAAGATACTTGTATTATACTTACTAAATGAAATTTCTGAAAAATGTTTTGAGAATGTACCCTCTGGAGCTTCTAATGTTTTAGATTATACCTTAAGATAATTATCACTTCTTTTCACTTATATTTTAAAACATCTTCTTTCCTTGAGATGGTCTAACTGTTCTTCTAGTAAGATAAGACCAAGGAGGTAAAACTTGTTGATTCTTTTGTGGAACATTCATTCAGGAATATCCTTGTAAATCGTCTTTGCATTCTCGCAGGCCGAGATCAGCTCCATCCGGGAAAACAAGGACAGGCTGAGTGACAGTACTGCAGGTAAGCTGGAAGGCGTCTGTTTCTGTCCTTTGACTGGTCTCTCTTCCGTATCCCCTTAATGAGAGCAGAGGCCAAGGGGGGCTCCTCTGTAGGGAGAGCGGAGGACCCCGGTGTGCCACCCAGAGTTGCCAGTGCCACACGGCTGATATCCGCTGTACCTCAGGGGCCTTCATCTGCATTTTAAGGCGTCTCAGAGCCTGGATGTGAAAAAACATATCTCTGTTTTCATTGGTTCCAAACTAAATGTTAGCACTTTCTTCAATTAAGAATATAGGCAATATCCCAAGTGGTATAAGTGGACTTTGGCACCAAGAGAATTCACAGACAATGTCCTCTCCTTGCTGTTATTACAGCTAGCTTGAAATGGAACTTAAGATATCACTGCTAGAAATTGTGGCAGTTATTAGACCTGCTGCCAGGTCTTGTTATTTGTTCTGTTACAAAATAAGTTGTTAAATTATTGTAGCTTGTCTATTCTATTTTATGCATTTTAAAAACATTATCCTGAGATGATGTAGGCTGTAAGCTGTCAGCCAGCAGCTTTCCTCGAAGGTGAGCAGCAGCTTGTTTTCTGGAGGGAGAGCCAGCCCAGCGCCCCCATGGCTGCCACAACCTAACTTTGCTATGTGGGGTTTTCAGTAGACACACGCAAAGACGGTGTGTTAATGAAATCACACGCAGTCATACTGCCTTCATCAAGACGGGGTTTCATTCATGGCATTGAGTCCATCCTGTGGGTTTGCCCTCTGAGAATGTAGTATAGTACCTTTAGAATCAGTTTAAAATATGGAGTAGATTATTTCAAAGGTCCTTTTTCGCTCCAGTGTTCAGTTTCTTAGTCTAAGCATTTCATATGTTTGGAGCCTTTAAAGCACAGAATTTAGAAATATTAAACTTTTTTATTCCTGGCAGAGATCAGTGTTAATATGACTGAGCAGTTGTTACATTGGACACTTTAAAACTCATCCATTGTATCTTAGAAATGATTCCTCTTGCTTAGAGTTACAGTCCTGCTCCCAGTGCCCTGGTTCATTCCATGCTCATATGACTTCACGTCATAAAGCTGCAGCTTAGGCACTAGGCATCAGAAGTAAGCGGATCTATGAAGAAATGTCATTTTGCATCCTTTCATATTAAGTAAGAGTAAAGCTTTCATCTTTGCTTTCAATGGCTGTGAGAAAATTAAAAACAACAGGAAAAAATTTAAATCAGTGCTAATCAATCAGCCTGTAAACTGTTGCTGGTCTACAATAAATATAAGGCGTGTGCACCAGACAACCGTCCAGCGATATCACTAAGCATGCTGCTTTGTCCAGCTGACATTTTTTTTCATAAGAAGAGGTTCTGGATGAAGGAAGCAGTACACTGAATTACATTCTGGAGCAACTTTTCTGTGTCCATCGGTGAGCACTTGGAGTAGCCTTGCTTTAGATGCTGTTTCACTGCGATAGTCAGTGGGACGTCTGAAAGTTGTGGTTTACCCACAGTATGTCCTGTGGATTTAGGGAAGACCGTATCCTGCTGCGGTGCTCAGCAAACGCTTTATGGGGAAGGCAGAGTTTGACGTGGGTCTTGAAGGATGCCTAAGAGTCATCTAACCCAAGGGATGTTGCGAGGGCAGCTGCGCGGGTGAAGAAGGAAAGCAGCAGCCTTGAGTTGAGAATAGAGGACACGGTGGAAACCTGAAACCAGAGGAATACGGGGCACTGGAGAAGGAAGTCGTGAGTCAGAAACCTGAAGCAGCAGATTGGGGCCAGAGCAGAGAGACCTCAATGTAGATAAAGGGATCTGGAGATTAATTTTTGGAGGGAGAGCAATTAAAGCACTTGAACCAAAGGAATGACCCTATCGAACCATGTTTTAGGGAGGTTAGTCTGACTGGTGTGCAGGCTTCATTTTTACTAGGGTGAGGGGAGAGAGGAGAGAGATTTGCAGAGTTTCAAAGCATGTGATACAGTTTTAGCTTGTGTAATGGTGGTGGGGTTAAGGAATGAATCAGCTTCAAGACCTATCTCTAAAAGGATTCACAGAAATGGGGCTCATTAGGCATGGGTGGAACAAAAGCAATGGAGCTATACTTAATCAAGTGAATGGAAAAGGTCTGATCCAATCCATCAGTTTTCAGAGGAGCTTCAATGCATCCAGGCATCTAGTATTATGCTGGGAATCCAGGAGGAAAACCCCAGTACTGAGAATTGTACATTTATCCAGCTGATGGGGGCTCTCATTCATAGTTGGGACTAGAAAGAACTGGATTGGGCAGAAAGGGAGTTTGTTCGAAGTCAGAAAAATAACAGTTTAATTTTTAAATATCAGTTTAAATTGCTTTTCTCTTTTCTAAGGTGCTGATAGCTTATTGGATATCAGTTCTGAAGCTGACCAACCAGATATTCTTGTCCTGTTACAAGCAAAAGTTGCATCTCTTACGTTACACAATAAGGAATTACAGGATAAATTACAGGTAGGTAAATAGATTGCTACCCCAGACTATTCTGTAGGGTCAAGATACTGGGTTTTTCAGGGTTAGTTAGATGATATTTTATTTTAAACTGTACATCAGTTTTTTTTCTTTTTTAATATAGTTAGCCTTCAGCATTTTATAGTTTCAGGTTATTTTTTTCTTGAGAGAGTTATTCATTAGTCCTATTTCTGTAAGTTTCTGAATTGGTAAATTCTATATAATTATATACATAGTGCCCGGCCGGGCGTGGCTTAGCGGTTGAGCATTGACCTAGGATCCAGGCGATCAGGGTTCAATTCCCGGTCAGGGCACATGCCCGGGTTGTGGGCTCGATCAATGACTCATCATTGATGTTTCTATCTCTCTCTCTCCCTCGCCTTTCCTCTCTCTGAAATCAATAAAGAAATATTTAAAAATAATAATAATAATTATATACATAGTATGATATAAAATATGACAAATTATATATGTGTGTATAGATATATGATTACCATTTAGTAAAATTGATCGTTTAGTAAATTTCAGAAATTGATAAGAAACAGCTGTACAAGCCCATTCATTGCTCCTCTTCACAACTAGAATAATATGGGAAATAGAGGAAAAATTTGAGGCAGGTCTTTACAGCCAAAACAAATGTACCATTTGTAAAGTGGCACTAAAACCTGCTCGAGTGAGCACAGAACAGGCTACCGTAGTTAATCCGACTCTCGGGTCTCAGACCAAGAGTACACTTGCAAAAACGGTCGCACCGCCCTCCCATATGTAGGTTTGGGGTTTGTTCTCTCATTCTGGTTGCTCGTTCAACTAACCACACCTTTGGTGCCATTTCATCCTTGCCTTTTTTTTTTCAGGCCAAAACACCCAAGGAGGCAGAAGCTGACCTGAGTTTTGACTCTTACCATTCCACTCACACTGACTTGGCCCCATCTCTGGGGAAACCTAGTGAAACCTCTACTCCAGACTCCAGATCCTCTCCACCTGCCTTTACCCATTCCTTGAGTAAATCCACTATCGACAGCGATGTGAGAATTCAGCAACTGCAGGAGATTTTACAAGATTTGCAGAAGAGATTGGAGAGCTCCGAGGCAGAGAGGAAACAGCTCCAGGCTGAGCTCCAGTCCAGGAGGCCAGAATCCGTGTGCTTAAACAATGCTGAGATTTCCGAGAACGGCTCTGACCTCAGCCAGAAACTTAAAGAAACTCAGAGCAAGTACGAGGAGGCGATGAAAGAAGTCCTGAGCGTGCAGAAGCAGATGAAGCTGGGCCTCGTGTCTCCCGAGAGTGTGGATACTTACTCGCACCTCCGGGAGCTGAGGGTCACCGAGGAGGAGATCCGTGCGCTGAAGCAGGACCTCCAGAGTGCACTGGAAGAAAGTGAAAGAAATAAAGAGAAAGTGAAAGAGTTAGAGGAAAAACTCGTAGAGAGGGAGAAAGGCGTGGCAATTCAGCCACCTGCGGAAGAGTACGAGGAAATGAAAAGCTCCTATTGCTCTGTTATTGAGAGTATGAGTAAGGAGAAAGCATTTTTGTTAGAGAAATACCAAGAGGCCCAGGAGGAAATCTTGAAATTAAAAGATACTCTAAAAAGTCAGGTGACACAGGAAGCCGGCGATGACGCTGGGGACATGAAAGAGGCCATGAACAGGATGATCGATGAGCTCAACAAGCAGGTGAGTGAGCTGTCCCAGCTGTACAAGGAAGCCCAGGCCGAGCTGGAGGATTACAGGAAGAGGAAATCTCTGGAAGACGTCACAGCTGAGTACATCCATAGAGCAGAGCATGAGAAGCTGATGCAGGGGACCAACGTTTCCAGGGCCAAGGCAGAGGAGGCGCTGTCCGAAATGAAGTCTCAGTACTCGAAAGTGTTGAATGAGCTGACTCAGCTCAAACAACTGGTCGATGCCCAGAAAGAGAACTCCGTGTCCATCACAGAGCATTTGCAGGTGATCACCACGCTGAGGACGGCCGCGAAAGAGATGGAAGGGAAGCTCAGCGGTCTCAGGGAGCAGCTGGCCGGCAAGGAGGCGGAGGTGGCCAGGCTGGAGCGGCAGCTCGTGGAGGAGAGGGCCGCGATGACCGAGGCCATGGTGCCCAGGTCTGCCTATGAAGAGCTCCAGTCGTCCTTGGGAAGCGAGGTGAGCGCGTTGACGTCGAAGTTAAAGGATTCCGTGAGGGAGAAGGAGAAGGCCCATTCCGAGCTCGCCCAGATTAGGAGCGAGGTCTCCCAGGCGAAACGGGAGAAGGAAACGGGTCAGGCTCTCCTGAAGGCCAAAGAGCAAGAAGTCAGTGAGCTGCTGCAGAAGTTCCAGCGTGCTCAGGAAGAGCTGGCGGAAATGAAGAGAGATTCCGAGAGCTCTTCGAAACTGGAGGAAGACAAAGACAAGAAGGTTGGTGGACTCTGCTGCTGCTGGGTTGCCAGCTAGTGAGCCCCCAGACCCCCGGCTTAGCGCACCTGCCGTGAGTGCTCAGGGGCTCCCCGGAGCCACGCTAGAACAGTAGGTTAGACGGTGATTCGGGAGAGAAACTTCCCCACCCCAAAGCATTTTCACATATGTGGTGCATATTTTTTTCTTGAAAAATGATTTTACAGAAGCTCTGCCAAGTGTCAGGGATCAGAAGTAAACCCACAAACTGCAAAGCGTTTGTGACCGATCTTGAACTCTTGGAATCCAGACAGATTCCTCTGTCCTGGGAACCCAAATACTTCCAGACTCAATCCTGTTTCCCTAAGCTCCGTGGGCTTTCCCGAGCCAGTATGAAAATTGCCTTTCCTGCTTCTCATTTTTAAAGGTGTATGGGAGGGGAGGGAGAGGAATGTGGGGTGCAGGTGATTAGAGAGGGGCTGGGTATGGCGTGAAGAAGAGGGGGGAGTGGAGGATGGTTCCGTGCCCAAATCTGCTCTGCACCTCAGTCCCTGGGTCAGATGTGTGCTGAGTGCCATAGATCATTTATTCCTTTATTATAATGAACACTTCGAAGAGCTTCCAAAGCCAGGGGGCAGGGAGTTGGGAGGTGGAATGGGGAGTTGTTTTTACTTTAAAGCAAGATGTCCAGAGATATCGGGGTTTCTAGAGCTTATTCCTGCTCTCCCATGTCAGCAAATAGTGTCTAAAATCCTGTTTCTGTTTAGGAAAAAGGCGGGAGGTCAATGTCATAGCTTTTGTTACCTTTATGCATCAAAACACAGTATTTAACCTGGGCCCCTTATTTGAATACAATGCCTTAGAAGGTTTTGTTGGTTTGTCTGATTTTGTCATGTTTCATTTTATGGATTTTCTTTAAAATGTAAAAAAGGAACTGAGGCTGTATTCAGGGCTTAGGAATACCTGGAATTTTGCTTCCGCAGGTGTGTTCTTGCCTATTGATAACAGTTTTCCTTTCTCACTAGATAAACGAGATGTCGAAGGAAGTCGCCAAGTTGAAGGAGGCCCTGAACAGCCTCTCCCAGCTGTCCTACTCAGCCAGCTCCTCCAAGAGGCAGAGCCAGCAGCTGGACGGGCTGCAGCAGCAGGTCAAGCAGCTCCAGGCCCAGCTGGCGGTGAGTGGGTTTGCGCCGTGGCTGGCGTGGGGTGGAGGGCTCTGCTGGTGGGGCAGGCGGGGGTGAACGGAGTCCCAGCCTAACGGAGTGTGTGCTTCAGGGAGCAACTCACTGGGGACCTCTGGTGAGGGCAGAAGAAGAAACTAGTCAGGTTTCTGGTCATTACCTGCCTTGAGCTGGGCTGGGTGTGTCTCTGAGGACTAGGCAGGACAGTGGAGTAGGCTTCTGGGTCATCCGTTCACTTCTTCATTTTTCTGCAACAGTCGCGAACATCTGACAGAGGCAAGAACATTTTCTCGCCAGGGGCCAGGGTCTCTGGTAGTTGCATATCTACAGAGCTGAAGCTGTTTCTTGGCCCCTCCCCTCTTTTACCCAGAAACTCCTCTCATATCTGTAAAAGTTTCCTCCGACTGTTGCAACAGAGCAGCTCAAACTTGGTTTAAAACAATGTGAATTTATTAAAATTCTAGAGACCATCAGTCTTGCTAGACCAAAGTCAAGATGTCAGCAGGGCTGGTTCCCCAAGGACTCTAGGGAAGATCCATTTCCTTGTCTTTTCTAGCTCTCAGAGGTTACGCGAATTCCTTGGCTTGTGGCCCCTCCCTCCATCTTCAAAGCACATCTCTCCAGACTATGGTTCTGTCTTCCCATCTCCTGCTTCCACCTTTGACCTTGCTGTCTCTTTTAAGGACCCTGTGATTAAATTTAAGGCGCACCCAGATAATCATGATAATCTTTCTCCATCTCACAATCCTTAGTTACACCTGTAAGGTCCCTTTGCCATACAGGTAACATTCACAGGTTCTGGGGGTTAGGGTGTGGACATCTTTGGAGGGCCGTTATTTAGTTACCGCAATATCAGTTAAGGTTTGAGTTGACAACGGTATGTATTTTCCACACGAAGTCAAGGGTTAGATTGTCCTGGGCCATCTTTAGCTTCTGTTTACAGACAGGACGTGGATCTTACGATTTCTTCAGTACAGGTGTGATACTGGTGAGTGTGGGTTTCTGTAGTCCTGACTCTGGCTGGCCACCAAGCCTAAAACCAGCTGTTTTGGGTTCCCAGCTCCAGCAGTGCAGGAATAATCAGGGGAGAAGATGCTCCCTACTGTGTTCTGCAGGTCATTTTTCTGATAAAGTGGTTATCACAGACTTGCAGATAAAGTACTAATGCTTTATACAGTCCTTCTTACAATTACTCAACATGCTTTAATGAGTTCTTATGTGTCAGTATTGTCCAAGGTGCTGATGATATAAAAATGAGTAAGACACAGTCCCCGGCCTCACAGAATTTCTGCGTAATATAACGGCTTACCATGTTCTTGATCTAGTAAGCATTCATTGATAGAGACACCCAGCATGCTGTGGGCCGAGGAAATGTGTGCTTACCCAGTCTGGGTGAGTCTCAGAAGGCTTCCTGCAGGAGGTGATGTTTGTGCTGAGTCTGAAGGGATGAGTAGGAGGCAGCAAGGACTGAGATGTGGCATTTAGATGGCCCTTGGTAACCTTGGCGAGAACAGTTCCAGTGGCGCGGTGGGACAGGTCTGCACTGCAGTAGGCTGCCTGCTGGAGAAGTGAGTACGTAGCGAGATACAGGACGGGGCTGAAGAGTCCTAGCAGGAGGCCGGGCAAGCCTAAGGTAGGTTTGCTAGAAAGACAGGAGATGCTGGTCAGAGGGAGGGATGCCGTCGGTGAGACTTCAGAGGCAGAGGCAGGGCCATGACCCTGAGAGTGAGCGGCTGGGAGGAGAAGCAGGTTGCTGAAGCTGAAGTTGAGCAGCTGAGAGGCCAAGGTGTTAGGTGGCTCATCCCTGTGGATATTGCAGTCAGCCCATTGGTGACAGAAGCCGGGATGCAGAGGAATCAGTGGCCAGAAGGTGGTTATAAATGGTTGAGCGGAGGTAACAGGGAGCAACACAGAAAGAGGTTCCGAGCGCACCTTCTCAGGGTGTGGACTTCGAAGTTTTCAGTGTTGTCTGGAGTAGGAAGGATGCCTCATATTCCGGCTGATGGGACGGAGGCGACAGGCCTCTTGTTAGAAAAGTTAAGAGCTAAGTTACAATCCTTGAAATAGGCACTGAGAGGAGCTGGGGTAAGAGCTCAACCGGGACACTCAGAAGCAGGAGCAGCTGGGCTGAGGCATCACTGAGACGGGTGCCGCCGCTCTGTTCACCCCCTGGGTGCCCGACAGCTAAACAGATGAGCTTCCCAGGGGCGTATGGCACAGGCTATGGAGCGGGCGACCAGTAACTCCCTTTAAAGGAATAGATTTTCAAATTTAATTAATAAATATTTGGTCAATGTAGAAAAGTTGGAAAGGACAGAAAACTGAAAAAGTTCCTCAGAATAAATTGCTCATAATTCAACCACCCAGAGACAGTCACTTTTTGCATTTGATATATTTCCTTGTGTGAATGTATCTGTGTATTTGCATAGAGAGAGAGAGAGTGTGTGTGTGTGTGTATACAACAAATTTGGGATTATAGTAACTACTTTTTATGTGAATTTTCTTCTAGAGTTGACATACCAAGATAGGAAATAGGTAGATAACTTTTNATGCAACAAATTTGGGATTATAGTAACTACTTTTTATGTGAATTTTCTTCTAGAGTTGACATACCAAGATAGGAAATAGGTAGATAACTTTTCCTCCTAAGAATGCTGACAAGTATTCAGATAGACACAAGCCAGTGAGCTCACAACAATTTTAAAAGCTTCCTATGTGAGCTTTTGATGAAGGGGGTCACTTGGGGAGCATTTGACCGCAGCTTTCTAATAGTTTTTAGTTTTGTTTTTTAAAAGCTCTGTAACACAGGCAAATTGTGTCTTTCCAGGAATGCAAGAAACAGCACCAGGAGGTCATATCTGTCTACAGGATGCACCTTCTGTATGCTGTGCAGGTATGGTGACGCCCTGGAAGTATCTGGGTATCCTAAAGACATACTGCAGTCGATGTTGCCCAAAGTCCCATCATGAAACTCGTAGAACAAATGAGAATTTGAGGAGAATCCTCGACTTGGAAAGCTTTAAAATGCCTTGCGCTTTGCTTCGGGTTTTGTGTCAGGAGCCCCGGCCTGTTTTCTGAGAGTGGACTTGTCATTTGTGGAGAAGTGGTGGAAGCTGCGGCCCCCGCTGCTTTCCCACCTCCGCCCCTCACCTATCAGAATCGGGAGCCCAGTCTTTATTCCCTAGGCTTGCTCGGATTTTCAGAGCCATTAGCACTGTCACCCTGGGACTGTTGGTGGTTTGATAGCTGGGCTCATATTTGCAGCTGAGACCCCAGAAACCCTTTGCTGGGCTCTGGTAGCCTCAGCCTCCTCTAGGGGCAGAAAATCCGGGCCCTCCCTGGCCCAGTTCCTTAGAGAAACGTGGGAACTGCCGGGGCCAACATTCCTTTGGAAGATCGGGGGCCGGGAGCTTCATCCCAGCCGGCCATCTCATTCCCTCGGGAGACAGTGCCAGGACTTAGCTTAGGTGCTGACGAATGTCTCTTGTTTGAATGTCCTAGGGCCAGATGGATGAAGATGTGCAGAAGGTCCTGAAGCAGATCCTTACCATGTGTAAAAACCAGTCCCAGAAGAAGTAGCGTGGGTTCCTTGGCAGGACGCTGCCCCTCGCCCATCTTTGTGTTAGACCCGAGTTGTTGGCGACCACTGCCATTGTTCTCCGTGATATGCACCGTGACCTAGCCTAGCTCCTTCCCTTCCAGAGGCTTCTTTCTGAGGAATGGTCCCAGGAGAAGACTGTGCGCCTCAGAACTGTTTAGAGACTTGAAAACAGCAGAGGTGAAAGGCGCCGTCAGCGCTTCTGGCTCCAGAGCTGGGATCAGCCGTGCCCAGGAGCCTGGCCCTGGTGCTGGTGAGCGGGCACCCTCCTCGGTACCTGACCAGCTATGTGGCTTCGTCGTCGCTGAGTGATACGGGGACACCTCTGCGGAGTCAGTCAGTGCTGCCTCGGTTCCTACGCCCGGGCTGTGCCGATCAGCACAGGAGAGCTCTTTTCGCCTCTCGTTTCCAATCCGCAAACATGATTGGACTTCTAACCAAATTAGTACAGCGCTAGTTATGCGGTGCACACCTAAGACCCTTCTCATGATATCCTGTGGATTTGAAAAATCTAATTCCTTCTTTCCCCCCGTCTGCCTTATATAGCTCATCACTGGCTCATCAATTTTAGCTTGATGAGCACCATTAATTAAAACATGAAGCTTAAAAACAAAAGCAAACTGCCCTTAAAAGTTTTCAAGTAAATTGTCGACATATTGCAAATTCTCTATGCAAACTTGCCTTCTGCCGTTATCCGCGAAGCTCAGGAAATCCACACATACGTGTTTCAACAAGGGACAGTAAACTGCATGTTTACAGCCAAAAGAAATGCCTCATAGTACTTAACCTCAATTTTTTAAAAGTGTTTTTTCTCTATAATATTTTTATTGGCTCTTAAAGATGTTTTCATATCTAAACCCCTTAAGTAAGTGAAATTCACATTAGACTATATTAACAAGATATTTTTTAGGTAACCGTGCTTAAGACTTTTTAAGAATAGGACTTTTTCCTCAACGTTTTCAGCTATAGCAAAAGGTAGTTATGTATTCCCAAACCCATTATGAGCTGCCAGTCCCCCTAGAATTTCTGCCAATGTTCCTAGAACCATAAGCACATTTCTTAACATAGTTAATACTCTTTTTACCCAATGAATAATTTTGAATGCCCAGCTCTACCAGTGCCCATCAGTTATCTCTAGAAGAACTGTTACTGTCAGTTTTTCAACTTTGAAACTGAAAATCCTGAAATGGTAAACATTATAGTGCATAGCAAAGGTCTTGGGGGGAAATATTTCTGTTCACTTTACTTTCAGGTTAAAAATGTTTCTGACTTGCTTGCAACTTTCCTTACAGCATCGATCTTCCCAAGGGATGTAAACAGAATGCAGAAATCTGCAAAGTATATAATTAAAAGTGCAGGCCTGCTCTGACAGGGCCCGAGCACCACAGGGCTGCCTGGGCTCAGAGGGAGCTTGGCTGTATTGGGTGACAACCAATGACAGCAAAGCACAAATGGCTTTCAAGCTTGGTGTTACTTTTCATAAGTTGTTTATAGTTAAGCAATTTTGAAAATGCTGCAAAGAAATGTGAAAGGACTATTTGTCACAGCACTTAAGAAAACACAAGACCACCCCCTCCTGCTCCCGCACAGAAATGCTGCAGAGTGTAAAACTTGAGAAATTTGTAGGATGCTTGACGAAGCGTAGCCTTTTATCTTGTTTCAGGATGCATATTTATTACAAGTACTCTGGTTAAATATTGAAACGTTATATGCTGTAGTTTAGCGTTTTGCCTTTGTAATTTACGGAAGGTATTGCAGAAAATAAACTTTTGTTTCATTTTGCATCTCTGTTGTTGCTTTTTGTTGCTACTCCCAACCCGGAGTTCAACTCTCTGCAGGCAACAGCTAGATTCTTGAGTGGTCTGAGACTTTATGTGTCTAAATGTACATGTTGGCATGTATTTTACTTTCCCCTTTAAATGAAGGAGAAAAATTTATACACTCTTCTGGGCCATAGTGTTTCCACTTAAAATGTCTTAGAGATTGTTCTGTCAGCCCATGCATCTCATTCTTTTTAACTGTTGCCTAATATTTCATATGATTGTGCTATATTTTATTTAGTTAGTTCCTTATCGATGAGCATTTAATCTGCTTCCAGTATTTTACAGCCCTGACAATGATGTGATGATTGTCCTGTCTATAAATGTCTATGCCTATGTGTGAGGACTGTTTGGGTCATTTTCAAACTGCCCATTTTCACCCTCGCTCACATCATGTGCTATAGGAATGCAGAGAAAATAAGAGTAGGCTAGTGTATGCACCATCCAAGGAGTGAGAAAGAACGGCCTTTTTCTTCACCTTGGTTAAGACTCATCAATTTGTTTTCCTTTTGTAAACCTCAGACTCCAAAGCCCTGAAAAATTAAACCCACCCATCTTAAGATAAACACATGATGCACTCACTGGTGGGGAAAATGCTCCCTGAACATGTTGAAGCACAGTCTTTTGCAATGTGACACAACTGTGGCATGTCGGGTGCTGACAGCAGCAGAAACACTATCCAGCAAAGATGGGGTGATGCTTTTTGAGCAAAGTTAACAGGCAGACTGCAGGGCAAAGGATGAGCTGGAAAAAGCAACAGAGCAGGCATGCAGAGTAGCGATCTCTGTTCAGCTCAGAGCAGAACAGTTGATCTACCTGGAGTGTCAAGCATCATGGGAGTGTGTGACATATTTGTGAATGGACAAGAGCTCAACTATGATGGTCACCATATGTGGGCCATAGGAGCTGGTCGAGGGAGCAATCAATGTGGGTCCCAGCCAATGGAAAGGCTCCCCCGAGGAGTAAATCCCCAAGAGATGGAGGTGAGTGAAAGGGAAGAAAGAGACGTTCCTGTTCATTCATTATAAATCAGGCCCTAAAATGGGATGAAACAGTATACTCAAGAACTGGGGTTGGATGTACTCGATTATGAATGGAGGATGTGTAGGGGAGAGAAAGGAGCAGGACAACCAAATAATGTAAGGTTTTAACAGTCAGGCAGAGATAGGTAGTAAGGGTTCCCTATAAGTCACCTCCAGATATTTTAAACCTATGCCATTTAAGTCAGGTCAACTACTCTGCAAGGCAGAGTAACGCCCCTTCCTTCCCCAAAGAAGTCCATGTCCTAATTCCCAGAATCTGTGAATATTTTATGTTACCTGGCAGAGGGGAATTAAGTTTGCAGATAGAATTAAGGTTCTTGATCAGCTGACCTTAAAATAAGATTATTCTGCGTAGTGCAGGTGGGCCTGATATAATCAGAAGGGTCTTTTAAAGTGGGAGGAGTCAGTTTTAAAGATGCTACACTGCTGGCTCTGAAGATCAGGGATGAGGCCAGGAACCAAGGAATGCAGGTGGTCTCTAGAAGCTGGAAAAGGCAAGAAAAAGTTCTCCCCAAGAGTCTCTAGAAAGAACCAACCGCGTCTCTAGCCCAATGACAGCCACTGCAGACTTCTGACCTCCAGAACTGAGAGAATAAATTTGTATTGTTTACACTAAGTTTGACTGAACCCAGGTAAGGCCTCTATATAAACTTTTAAGAGCTGGGGAGGTGGGTGCAGAAATCTGGTCTTGCAGCTGCCCAAGACAAGCCTCATAAGTAAGTTCCCTTGCTTATTAAACCTGCCATCTAGCAACCTGGAGTGATCTACCTTTTCCTTTGGTCTCTCCCTGCCCTCCAAGTACAGGGACTGGTTTCAGGTTACACCCAGGAAGCTCCAGAGGAGGTTGTGACCTAACAGTAACCCTGTCGTGAGAGGCCAGAAAATGTGTTTTAAGAAATTACATAGTCCGAGAAAGTTTATTTGGATTTCCTTGTTCTTAAGTTTCACAGTTCCTGGAGGTGGAATAGTTTGGAGGCAATCATATTTGATTTGGGGTTGGAGGAGTCTAGAAGTACCCTCGACACATGCTTCCTCTGTGTGACTTTTGCAATAGCAATGCTTGTGTGTCCTACCTCAGGATCCAGGGAGGGAAGGTGAGCGAGCATGCTGCAAAACCACTGTCCATCCAGGTTGCTAGGGTTCTACTCCAGAGGTAGTGAACTAACCCAACGCACCTGTACTGCAACTAAGGTTTACATTTGGGGACAGGGTTAAGATGGCACGGAAAGAAAAATATCGCAGGAGTTTGGAACTCAGTTCTTTTCATTTGATTTCTAATTTTACAGAGAGGGCAACGTGCTTCTGGTCAGAGCGAGTTAAATGGAGGTGGAACCAGAGCACCAGCTCTAGGATGGGAATTCAGTGCCCGTCCTGCACTTCCCTGCACAATGATCGGCACAGCAAGTGTTCAGGAAAGAAGAGCTGCCTTTAACACACTCAGAAACAGCTCACAGCCATTTCCTAGAATGACAACATTGAAACTTCAACTTGATGAAGGTCAACTTAACAAGGGGTTAGGGAAATAAGTGTTAGCAGAAAACCATTCTTCCTTTTTTATTGCCGTACATGTTAAATATTGTTCACAGTCACAAAAATCTGCAGTTTACCCTCACAGAATCCTGGACCTGGGAAGGGTTTCAGAAAGCAAGTGGTACATATGCTCTCACTGTAAAAGCAAGAAAATTGGGACCCGTGAACTGGGACTTGCCCCAGGCCACGCAGAGTGAAAACCAAAACCGTGACATCTTGCAGCCAAGTTCAATCTTCTCATTATTGTTCCATGCTGAGAATTCTCTTTGGAAACAGAGAATAAAGGGCGTGGGATCTTCAGAAAAATTTTGGCTCAGGAACTTGAGGGTACAGATGTAAACCTTAAGCTGATGGGTCCTCCCGGTTTTACTTAAGATATATTTAAGCAACTCTGAAATAGCTCCTCCAGCCTAACTCCAGAAAGCCTAGCTATCTTGGCAGTCTTGGATCGATAGCAATTAAACTTCAACCTTACAGTTGGAAAGAACAAACACCAAATGTAAACACCATCTTTCAAGTTCCTAGTAAATATTTTCCTTCTCTCTCTACCAAGCCTTTTTTTTTTTTTTAATGGGAGGGACATAGCAGCTCCAACTTGCCTTGTCATAGGAGCCCTTAGTTAGGGCCCATGACAACACCCTTGAACATTAGTCTGCCAGAGCCAGCGCTGTTTACTTGGGTATTGGCCACAACTTACTCTGCAGATGTGTTCTTGTTACTACTGCGTGTATTTAGGGCTGAAGAGGGTAGTATAGGGACACCTGGGCCCTGGTTGCTGGCTCGGTTGGTTGGAGCACCCTGCACCCCAAAGGGCTGGGGGTTGGATTCCTGCCCGCACCTACCTAGGTTGCTGGGGGGGG